CTGCTGAATCATTTAAATATATAAAAACAAAAAATAAGTAAAGGAAGTATTATTTTGACTTACGCTCCTAATAGTATAGCTAATCTTGGTAATAATTAATTGTGGGTAGTTGAAGAAAACAAATGAAAAGATGGAAGCGAGAGGAAGTTATAGTAAATGTATATTGAAGTTTTAACAAAAAAAAAAATGTATATTGAAGTTTTAATACCACAGTCCCTCTCTCTCCTCCCCCACTGATTTCCCTCCATAAATACAGAACTTTGGACATAGTGACTTGATTAGAAAACTGAGACGAAAGGAGAAAAACTAGAGAAAGAAAAGAAAAAAAACAGAGAGAGAGAGATGGTTAGATCGAGTCTTATTACGATTTCCGCAGTTCTGCTCATTTGGCTTCATGTATTCCAATCACATCAAGGTATGAAAATTCGTGCATCTATTCTTCTTTAGAACAAAATTCATATACTTTCTTTCATAGAAATGGATTTTTTCTGGTTTTTGCTAACAATATCATCAATTGGCATTATCACAGCGCCAATATGTGCACTAAATTTTAACGGTACAGTCACGGTGCCGCTTAGGAGAAAAGACGTAAACATTGGCGATACTACAATAACTTTAAATAATTACCGCAATGTCATCTTTTATGGTGATATTGGAGTGGGAACTCCACCCCAGAAATTCAAGGTGGTCTTCGATACTGGAAGTTCCGATCTATGGGTTCCTTCTAAATCGTGGCCTCGATGTAAATTTGAACACCCAAAATTTAACGCTGCAGCATCTACGACGTACTTGGGGAGCGGTAATTTCAGTTAGTCTATTTTCATTTGTGTAGGGGGGAAAGTTGTAGAGCTAAAATTTGGTTCAGGCGAATTACAAGGTACCCTAGCCCGAGAGAATGTTATGGTTGGTGGCATTTTACTCGAACGACAAGATTTCGTAGAGGGCACCATCCCTGATGAAAGATTGAAACAAGTGGTGTTCGATGGCATCATGGGATTAGCATTTCCACATATTGCAGTGAAGGAAACAGTAACAGTTTGGGAAAACATGGTAAAAAAAAAATTAATTCCTACAAATATTTTCTCCGTTTGGTTGACGATGTCTAACGACGATGAAAAGCAAGAAAATCCAAATGGTGGGCATATTGTTTTTGGAGGACTCGACCCAACACGTTTCAAAGGAGAACACACGTACGTTCCCGTCATAACAAGGCCGAAGAGAGATTTTTGGAAGTTCAAGATGTCGAGAATCTTCATTGGTCAAACACCAACAGAACATTGTGTTGTAAAGTGCACAGCAGTTGTTGATACTGGGACGACTGACATTCTAGGTCCACAAGTAAGAAAATTAAATTTTCGAATAAATATTTTCTCCAGTTTTTATCAAAATATGATCTG